TTGTTTTTGTGATAATGACTTGATGCTTCAAATACTAATCTTTTGAGATTTTCAAGTTACTTTTTGTGGTTGTATTAAGCAAACTAAACTCTTAATGGCTATATTTGATTAAGTAAACTAAACTCTGAAGGACTATATTTAAATCTTTATGAACCATACACATTGGCTTGAAAATAGCCTATTTTTGTATCCTACATTATTTCTTTTAGTAGTCACTTTTGTTCATGTTCAAGTATATCAATAATTTTAGCTTCTTACATTCTTGCATGGGAACCCTATTTTATAGTTTGGACTTCACTAGACTGTGAAACAAGGATCATAGGATGGGGGAAGGACTCCCAATATCATGGTGTAATTCCTATCAAATGGTTAGTATTATGTAGTCTAGTACAGTCCAGACCATATAACACTTTTTCCTTTTTAAATAAAGCTTATATATTGCAATTTTAGCCAATTTGTATTGAGTACAAAATGCATTCTTAAATATGAATTGGTTACATGATGAAACACATTTTATATGCTTGAATTTTTTTATTTTAACTTTGATTTTATTGATATTTGAATAGGTAAAATATTTTTTAATGGATTTTATAAAATTTTCATTATAACAAAAGACTTGAATGAAAAATAATAGAAGTTTTGGGATTTAAGTGAAAATTTTTGAAAGTTGAGGAACTATTTTGGACTAGAAATGTAGCATTTAGAGACCTAAATGAATGAATTTGAAGTTACAAGATCAAAGTGTTCATTATGTAGAAGATGGAGTACAAGATGTGTTATTTATCATTGAAGAAATTGTAAAAAAAAAAAAACGAAGAATTTGACTTTGGTTGAGTGTTGACACCATGTTGAATAGTGTCGATACCATGGGTTGGGATGAAATACATATGAAGCAAGAGTGTTGACACCTAAATTGTCATATCTATTGAGTAGAAAAATCTCACATATAAACAAAAAAATATATATGAGTTAAATATAAGTAGGGTTATTCCACCTATTATTGATTGGTTGTGGGTTAAATGCAGACTTTGTGTGGAAACTCACATGCCAATTTTTACAAGATATTAGAGTCTAGGATTCGTTTCTAGGAATTTGTTATTAGCCCAATTGATAAGACTCAAAGTTCATATCAAGTCTATGAGCAAGGGTGCATATAAGTCACATGATAGGACTTGATGTTTATACTAATCTTGCGCGTGAGAAGATGTGTTGAATGAAAAATTTTCATATATAAATAAAAAATATATATATGAGTTAAATATAAGAATGATTATTCTATTTATTATCAATTGGTTTAGATTGGATGAAAGTTTTGTATTGAAATCCATATATCAATTTTCACAATATAAAGGATCGACAATTCAAGCAATTTTCAACTTTCAAAGTTATTTTTGACACCTATCCT